CGTGACCAAACACTTGGTCACCTTGAGCTCATTGTGATGATGCATTACCGAGTGGGCCCAGAGATACCTCTCCGTCATACGGAGTGACAAATCCCAGTCTCGATCCGTGTCAACCCAACAGACACTTTCGGAGATACCTGTAATGCACCTTTATAGTCACCCAGTTACGTTGTGACGTTTGGTACACCCAAAGCACTCTTACGGTATCCGGGAGTTACACGATCTCATGGTCTAAGGAAGAGATACTTGACATTGAAAAAGCTCTAGCAAAACGAACTACACGATCTTGTGCTATGCTTAATATTGGTTCTTGTCCATCACATCATTCTCCTAATGATGTGATCCCGTTATCAACGACATCCAATGTCCATAGCCCGGAAACCATGACTATCTGTTGATCACAACGAGCTAGTCAACTAGAGGCTCACTAGGGACATATTGTGGTCTATGTATTCACACGTGTATTACGATTTCCGGATAATACAGTTATAGCATGAATAAAAGACTATTATCATGAACAAAGAAATATAATAATAACACTTTTATTATTGCCTCTAGGGCATATTTCCAACAGTACAAACCCATCTGGTTGTTCCATATAAATTTCCTCGTCCAACTATCCATTTAGGAAAGCAGTCTTAACATCCATTTGATGAACGAGAAGACCATGCGAGGCAGCTAGTGAAAGTAGAACTCAAATAGTGGTCAGTCGAGCCACAGGTGAGTAAGTATCAAAGAAGTCTTCACCTTCCTTTTGGGTATAACCCTTAGCCACGAGCCGAGCCTTGTACTTTTCAATAGTACCATTAGGCCTAAGCTTCTTCTTGAATACCCATTTGCATCCTATAGGTTTGCACCCATAAGGACGATCAGTTATCTCCCAAGTTTCATTTACCAAGATGGAATCCATCTTGCTACGAACCGCTTCCTTCCAGTAGTCAGCATCTTCAGATGCATAGGCCTCTGAAATAGAACTGGGAGTGTCATCTATGAGGTACAAAAGAAAATCATCACCAAAGACTTTGCAGTCCTCTGTCTCTTGCTCCTAATAGGAACTTCATTGTTCTCCTCCACAGGACTTTCAAAGTGTTCCATCGAAATTGTGGGTTCGGTAATTGTAACTGGTTCCTGATTCGATGAACTAGGCATCTCCTAATTAGATGAGGTAGACATATCCTTCATGGGAAAGATATCTTCAAAGAAAGTCGCATCATTCGACTCCTTGACCGTACCGACATGCATGTCAGGTACCTCAGATTTTACAACCAAGAATCTATAGCCAATGCTATGAAAAGCATATCCCAGTAAAACACAATCCACAGTCTTTGGTCCAAGCTTCCGCTTCTTTGAAATTGGAGCATTGACTTTCGCCAAACAACCCTTGACGGTGGTGAAACTAGGGATTAAGTTCAACTTCGCTAGTCGCGACATGCAACCAAAGTTAACATGACAAAGACGCGAATGCCTCACATTGGATTCACTATTGTTGCAAATATGATTAACAACTTTATTGCAAACGTCTAATAAGGATAAATGAAACAAGCCTCCTGACTCATAGCCTTTACCAACAAAGGTTCCATACTTGGATATTACAAATTTATTCGACTCAAAGACAAGCTTGTAGCCATCTCTACACAGAAGAGATCCGCTAACAAGATTTTTATTGACGGAGGGGACATAATGCATGTTCTTCAGCCGCACGATCTTCCCCGAAGTAAACTTCAGATCGACCGTGCAAACACCACGAACAGAAGCACTTGAACCGTTGCCCATCAGCACGGTTGAAGTCCCTGCGGTCTGATAAGACGAAAACATGGAAATATCACCGCATACATGCACATTAGCACCCGTGTCAATCAACCAGTCAGGAGAATGACATACTGAAAGAATAGTGGGAAATATACCATACCCAGCATCCTTCATGTCAGTGTCTCCAATGACAACATTAGTGGTCTTGCCGCCTTTCCCAGGATGACGCTTGTCATAGCGATTAGGGCAACTAGGAGCCCAATGATCAGGATCCCCACACACATGACAAGCACCTTTCTTCTTGCCATTCTTCTGCTTGAAGTTCGTGTGTTGCACAGCCTTGTTCTTTCCATCAAACTTTGCTTTTCCATCAAACTTGCCCTTGTTCTTGAACTTGTGGGGCTGGAAGTTCTGCTTCTGTACCACATTGGCACTAGATCCTCCCTCAATACCTCGAGCACGTGTGTCCTTTGCTCTCGCCTTTTCTTCCACATCAAGAGTGCCAATGAGATCCGGGACGGAAAACTCCTGCCTCTTATGCTTCAGCAAGGTAGCAAAGTTCCTCCATGAAGGAGGAAGCTTAGTGATGATACCTCCAGCAACAAACTTGTCCGGTAGCATACAACTGAAGTGCTCAAGTTCTCTAGCAAATGACAGTATATCATGAGCTTGCTCAACCACGGAGCACTCTTCAGTCATCCTGTAATCATAAAATTGCTCCATGATGTACAGTTCACTGCCAGCATCCGAGACCCCAAACTTGGCCTCGAGTGCATCCCGCATATCTTTTCCATTATCAATTGACGCATAAGCATCAACTATGTTCTCACCAAGAACACTCAAGAGAGCAGCCTTAAACAGAGTATCCATTTTCTGAAAAGCCTGTGCCTGTTGAGCATCAAGCTCTCCTTCAGGTTTGCCGAGAGTGGCGTCATAGCAACTCATGGTTTGAAACCATAAGACTGCTCTCACGCGCCACCTCTTATAGTGGATACCCTCAAACATAGAAGGTCTCATGGAAGCAGCAAAACCACTTGGGGTAAATTGCCTATAATAAGGTTTTTGGATTGTTGGAAATATGAGCAATTTACCAAATGATTTTATTAACAGAAATACTAGATAAAGCATGACTAATATAGAAGAGATAAAACAAGTCATGCGTTCTGACAGAGAGAAGGTAAATAGCTTCTGCATATATGAACCGTAGCCTATCATATCTAAAGCAGACAGTATAGCAAGTAGCATATATGAAGTAGAACCTAACATGTGTAGGACAAGGACTAGAACAAGGAACTGCGGCAAAACCTTTAACAGGAAAGACAAGAACACGTACGGGACAGCAGCAGCAGAAGCGCTGGACTTGGGGTCGGTGTCCTCGCCTGCCATGTCGTCGAGGAGGTCGTGGACGTCGGGGAAGAAGTCGTCGTCGGGGAAGTAGTCGTCGGCGACCGGATCGTCCGTGATGAAGCAGCCAGTAGTCGCGCTGAGCGCTCCCCAAAAACCTTATCACCCTTCTCCCGTACAGGACTCAAAAGGTGCGGTTTCGGAGGCCGAAGAGGCGCGCCGTTCGAATTCATTGTCCACTACAGAAAAACGTTTCAACTCCCACGTGACCTTTCGTATACCCGTCGTGCGTGGCAAAAATTTAGACATCGGCTCGGCTCATTCCCGCAACCGCAACCCACAACCCGCGGTGCGGCGCGTCGTGATGAGGCGGGCGGCGGAGGAGGAGCGCGCGTGGATGTCCCTCTTGTTCTCATGCTCATACATGTGGGGAAAGAACCTCCCTTATAAAGAGTTCCAACTCCCTCTAAACTAGCAATGTGGGACTAAATTTTTGTTCCACCTCTTGCCTTGCACAAATGGGCTGCGTGGGCCTCTAAGATTTATTAGGAATTTCTGAAACTGCTATTGGGCTAGGCCCAAAATAGACAAAATTCCAGCAACATCATATAATTTCCTACATGGACTGTGTTGCAGACAGCTGAGTAGACACTGTTGTACATGCCCTAAGAGCCTGTTCGAAAGCTCTCCCGACTCTCAACTCCGCTCCGTGCGAGGAGCTGGGTTGGAGCCGCTCCGCGCGATTGTACTGGCGCTCCCTCCGCTCCGGGAGCTGCAGTTGGGGAGCGGAGGGGATCCGAACAGGGCCCAAGTCTGTTAGAGCTATTCCATATCAGTTTGAAGATCCGGTGTCCTTCCACGTCTCCCATCAGGTGCTTGTACATTTGCATGGAAGAGTACTTGGTTGTTTGACCAGTGCAGGCCCATTTATCTTTTCCACTGTCACTTAGCTCTGGTATGATGCTCCCAAGCTGAATGAATTGATTGAATGCTTGAGTAGAAAGGGGGCATATGAAAGTGTTCAGTCCAATCATCAGAAGCACAAAATCTTTCGATGGATAGAGAATCATCAATGGCATAAGAATGCTCTGGTTTGTCCAGTGATCACAGTGCAAGAGCTGGCTTCTTTAAATTCAGGTAATAAGGCCAGATGTGCCCTCCACCGCCTTCCAGTTTCTCCAAAGGAGTGCTTGTGTGATAGTATCTTTGTTCAGAAACTTGAACAATTTTTTCATCAACAGAGTTGTCGTGAACAAAAATATCCAGGATGTCAAGACCACTTTGCTGTTTTGGTTTGCACACTTTGTTCCAGGCTATGAGTGTTGTGCCATTGTCTTCCATACCATAGTTTGTGACAAAAAAAAATCTCAAATATTTATTGAGTTGAGCTGTTACTCCAGTAGGGAGTGCCAAGGTGCACATGAAGAATATAGGCAGAGAACTGTAATAAACTCGAGCTCATTTTTTTAGACTCAAGAGCATTGTAGTAGTACTATTACTTAAGCAACATGGTTGCAGTCATGCTGAGTACAGTCCGGTTGCAGTTTTCAGCAGTTCACGAGCAGCCAATATGTCTCTGAACTAAGCACATTATTCATAATTTCATATTACCACATTCAATACATGAACATGTAAGGTTATACACCAGTGTGGTTCAAATATTCAGATACATCGAGGGAGTAGCAATTGGCAATGGAAAGAATCGACGATATATGAAACTAAAATAACGCAGAGGACCTCATCGCGTTTGCATGTGAGGCCCTGCCCTATCATATCTGAGGCGATGGACGCCGGGCAAGCCACCAACTTGCACCCATCTTCTTCTATCTATACCTTCCTTTTTTCGGTTGTACCCACTCGCTGGGTTTTCAGCACTTCAGCTGCTGGTATCAAAGGATATGATCGTATTAGAGATGCCTCCCTTTGAACACAAGGTGATGGCACGTGCCGTCACAAGGGTACGCGCAGTCGGTGTACTTGGCGTTGCCCCTCTCGAAGAACCAGTCACCGACCGCTTCTGCGATTCTCTGCACGTCGAAAAGCATGAGAGGAAGTTTCATCAGGCTAACCACCAGCTGACTTTTCATGCAATTGACAAGGAATAAATAGTCTGGCATGTTCATCTCAATCGTCCTTGTGTGCATCCAATGATCTCAAAACCAGGAGTGTTCTCCCTTCTACTGTCTAAAACAAACTTGCGTCTCATTGTGTGCATACCTTGTTGCCAAGACGAGGAGACTTGCTTGAGTACCATGTATCCTGTCTCTCGCTCTGGCAGTGGGCGAAACAAGAGTTGATAAACACCCCATTCTGCCCTGACCCAGAGAAACCCTTCACAGCGTTAAGCATTTCATTCCTGAAGCCTGCATTATACATAGGGAGATCATTCAATCTACTCTTTCGCTGACAGATTACGGCTCAGAAGATCTGACAAGGCAGCGAAGTATACCATTTAAAAACTGAAGCTGATTGCTATTGCAAGAGGCGTAATTCTGCTTGCAACTTTGCCATAGACCCCGGGGATCAGCCGTTCTGGGAGCCAAACTCTCTTGAAGCTGGAAAAATACAAGGAAAATTTGTTTCAGTTCCTCTCAGTCTCGTATCTCTTAAATCAGAGGGTTAAAATGCATGATAAGCACCTGCCACACGTCGTAAGCAGTGTTCAAGATAAAAGTCGGAGTTTGAATATTTGGCAACACGTTCTGCGGGAAAAAGCACTGTAGGGAGAAGCAGTTAGAAAAACGTTTGCAAACATAAAATTTGTCACATGTAGTAGGATGGTTGTCTTCTTACTGAGGTTTTATCCATGCGAGAGGTACAAGACCGAGGCAAGCTTCTTCCAGAACCCTGTATTTGAATTTTAACAACATCAGCAAAATGAAGATATTGTGGTTGGCACATGAATACTCTAAGATAAAAGTCAGAACCAGTGCTACAGGTAGAAAAGCATAGTACCAAGAAAGAGTTATCACAAAGTATCAGAAAAATACTTCTGACAGCGGCAAATACCTGCAATCTCACAATGCCATTGAACAAGTCTCTCATTTCTCGACGACCCGCAATGTCAACACTGCAAATGGTAATAGAATTATATCACCTTAACATGCCATTGAAGTGGACTGGAAATAGAAGTGCTCTTCCTGACAGCAGCAAAGAAATAAGGCACAAAATGTAACAACGATAATATGAAAGCAGAGCTTCATTATGTGCACATACGAGTCAAGGAACATTCCAGCATCAGCGAGGCACTTGACTCTGGTATTTGATGGAAACATTCCACGGAACTCATCACAGTGAAGTATGGCAGAAGCACCCCCAGCAGAGCATCCCGAAAGAAGGGCCTGGTGGTATCAAGTTGCATCAGGTAAACATAAATGATTTGCCAAAAGCTAATTACAAAAATGATTTTAACTATGGAGGCACCAATACCTGACTAGCAGAACGCATTCCTTGGGCCATCAAGTCATCGATAGCAGCCTGCCAAATACGCTGACCTCGGAAATAAAGGCCTGAAGCCTGAAGAAAGAAAATCCAGAAACGGATCGAATTGGATCAGTAAAAAAGCAGAAATACCATATAAATTTATTTATTTTGGTAGAATGGAGTATCTGTTATGTACAAGACTAAAAAAAGGATTGTAATGTGATGGAATAACCAGTGTACATGTTTATTTGGGAACTGTTCAAATGAAAAAGGGTCCACCACTTGTGAAGTAAAATGCAGAGCTATGATTTGCACTAACCGCGTCAGCCCCATCACCGGTGAAGGATCCACCATCACAATACCGAACCTTCACTCTGTTCCAGTTGTAGAAATCTAAGAGACAAGAAAACAGCATTACAATTCCTCAAACGGAAATAGGAGCAGAGTGTCAACAGTTATATTCCTCTTTTGGACAAAAAAGGAGTACTACTAAACTACACAAGACAAGTTCATGACAACTGTTTAGAAGAATACCAGGATTTTCTTCAGGCCTGTTACTCATTATGCCTGTAAACTGGAGTTGCCTCTCCATGTGGTTCGATGACCCACGCCGACTGCCCTTGCGGAACACACAGCTTTTAACATCATTGCACCATCCTCCACCCTGGAATTCGATTTGGAATCACCATCAGCTAAGGCATTTACAATCCGTAGTGCAATTCAAACTTATCGCTCAGTCCACATATATGTGAGTCATGGAGTATTACTCACCTCCAGATTGACAAGCCAATTGTTTGACCCTGATCCAGATCCCCGGTGTAGGTGGTAACCCGGTAAACTTCCATCCAAGCATACTGTAAGGCAATGTCATGGAAGTAAGCATCAGTATATTTAGCAGCATGCAATAAGCATACTCAAATTCTGGTATAAATGGAAAGAATTACTCCTGAAGCACAAAATATTTCAACAACCATACTGCTTCTAAAATCCAAAGCAGTTACCGGTAACCAGAGTCTTATTTGGTTAATTTTACACAAACAGAATCATCACAACACACATTTATAAAGCAGAGCCGCCCTAAGAAGACTTCAAATCTTGAGCAATTTCCTACTTGGTGTTTCTGTCGGCTGCCCAACTATTTAGGACCTCTGATATATTTGGAATGGTGACCAAGCAATCATGCACGGTTAGCTTGCACAATTCACAGCCAACAGTTGGCAATGAGCCCCCCACCCCCCGAATTAGGTGAGGAGAATACATCATGGGCACCACCAGCAAGGCAAGGCAAGGCTAGATCCACATGCATATATTTATCTAGATCCGCACATGGCACATGGCACATGCTACTTATGCCAAACAATCGTACTACAAGGATAAGACTGCATGATCACTCAATCAACATAGCTCCTAAGTGGCTAAGTGGATACTGAAGAGGAGAAAAATAGTAGAACATGAGCCATCACAATCCCTCTATGGCAATAGCAATCAGATCAGAAAAATGGTTACTCTGACCGACAAGGGTCAACACAGCAGAGACCCGCATCATGCGGCTCACTGGGCCAATCTACGGCAAGCATGTGACATGGACAATAAAAAACCGATCTTTGCAACAACAAGAAAGAATATTACTCCCGGCAAAAAAAAATATTACAGTACTACTCTACTAGCATACGGAGGAACAATTCTTGGAGAGGGGGGTTTAATTAGTTACCGGCTCCCTTGGCGGCCGCGGACTGGATGAGAGTGAGGGCGACGAAGGCGCCGTTGCTGCCGCTGCCGGAGTTGGCATTGGTGGAGTAGACCTGCGTGCCGTTCGACCACGGCTCGGAGCCGCGCGCAGCTCCCACCAAGGACCCGAGAACCACAGCAAGAAGGACCCAGGAACCCATGGCTCCCTGCCCTTCCGAGCTCTCTCCGTCCCAACGGGGGAGGCGAGCGAGGCCTGGGGCTGGGAGAGGAATGGATCTGGAAGAGGGAGAAGGGATCGTGGCGGAAGTGGCCAAAGCAAGGAAGGAACTTATACGCGGAGCGGAGGCCGGCCGAGCGCAAGTGCAAGCGCAGCTGGCTGGCAATGGCTGCTGCTGACAAAACTAAAGAAAGAAAGAAAGAAAGAAAGAAAAGGCAGCCAGCCGCTTCCGGAGATTCGGCGCTGCGATGCGATGTGCTGCTGCTGTACTGTGGCCGGTTTAGTGTAAACGCGGAGGTATTACGGTCGGGAGGCAAAGCATCTCGGATGCTGCGGCCTGCCTGCAGGAGGAAGAAGAAAAAGGTGTGGGACTGACGGTGGAGCTCGGAAGGGGGTGAAAAGCTCAGCTCAGCTCAGGCAAACTGTGATTGCATTCACTGCTGGCTTTTGGGGCCCTTGCCTTTGGCGGAACGAGATCCTCTAACATCACGAAGGGATGTTAGGGAAGTTGCAGTACCTTCTACATATTCATATGATTACGGTTAAAATAACTTGAATTAATTTGTAAATTACAAATCTACTGCATACATTTACAAAAATTACATACAAACAAAATTGCGGTGCAATAAAATCAAACTCATATTTATTTTTTCTATGAACAGTAACTTTCTACAGTACATATTGCTACAGTAACCATGACATCCTTTTTCTTTTTTGCACTGAATTTACACTGTAGTTTCGTAACATCTTTTCGTGATGTTAGAGGATACGTTCCCGCCTTTGGCCGGCTCGGTTGCAGGCAGCTCAGCTGTGTGCGGGACCGACGGCGGGCATCCGGGCAGCTGGAGTTTCTTTTATTTATGGGAGGACGCGCAAATTCGGAAGAGTGCGTTTGGGATGTTCCGCTGGTAAAATCACACATTTAACATGGGCCTAGTACTGAAACTCTTGAAGATGCAACACGTACAGAAATGAAAGCATGATCTGATTAACTACTGCACTGATGGCGACGGAGACGCCGCGGATCCTCTGTCGCCACAGCAATGCAGCCCTTGCGTGTGGCCGGCGAATGGAAAAAAATGTAAACCCTCCTTGCACGTCAGAATATCTTGATTGGACCAGACCGGTTTGGACTTATAGGAACCAGACCACGCACCGGTTCCGTCGCCAAACGGAATGGGAAGGACCACCACCAATTTTGTTCCGTTGGTTTCTGCAACTTGCCACGCCGAATTTGGCTCACTCGCTGCATGCATCCACGTACTACGTGCGTACGTCGTACGTGCGCTCCATAATTCGTCCATGGAAAACGAGACCTGACCGGCTCTTGTAACCAACCGGCACGGCCACGTGCCCTGGAGCCGCAGCTTGGCAGCGTTCTCCCAGCTTAAACCAGCACCAACAAGTTAGTATCAACTTGCTGCACGGCCTGGCGAGAAAACAAAATACAAAGGTGAACATGTCCTATGTGCACCCATGTTGATAGTAAATTCGAAGAAAAAAAAACAGAAAATTTTGAAAAAAATATATATAAATTTTGGGACAAGGCGCGCCGCATGGATCTTGCATCACAGGTCAAAGAACTGTTTGGTGAGGGCAGCCAAGAGGCCTCCTTGCAGATTGATGTGGCGTATCCAATCAATATCGGCCATAGCCTTGACGACGCAGATATTGGTGCGCTTGGAGAGGGCGGAGAAGATGCCCGGTGCGGTGTCCGTCGGCTTTTGTCCATGGAGCCATGGAGAGTGTCAAAAACTTGTCTTACTGCCATCGACGATGGTGATCGTTCACGCAATATAGAATAAGTCTTTGTCCCCATCGTCACAAGGGATTTCAGATCAACCCAAGCAAACTAAAGCTAGCGGAGCCTAAAAGGGTGAGAGAACTTGTCGAGTTTGAGGATGGCCAAGCCACCCAGGTTGGTAGGGCGACAAACTGTTCTCCAGTTAGCCTTGCAGTCTGAGACTTGATCGGACTTTGGTGGCACGTCAAGCGCGGTCAAATGGTAAATCACAAGGGATGCTAAGGCAGACTTCATAAGGGTGGATCGACCTGCCGTGTTGATGTTGTTACGATGATAAGGGTGGAGGGAGCTTGGCCGGCATTTTGTCCACAAGAAATTGGCAATCAGACTCCAGAATATATGGAGGATGTAGATTTAGAGTCTAAAACAGCACAAGACTCCGATATCTCATCTAAACCCATTTTTAGAGGCTGCAGTTTTGAAGAAATCGGTCGAAATTGGGACGCGGTGTTTCTGAGCTCGAGCTCAAATGAGCTCAGGTAAACACTAAAATCCAAATGTTTTGAGTGCTCATAAAATTTCATCGTGGAATGACATTTGTAGAAGTCGTGGAAATAAGATCAATGCTCCAAAATTGCTATTTTCGAAAGCATTTTGGAGTGTTAATTTTGCATTTTTTGCCACGATTCCATGAATGTTATTCGATGATGAAATTTTGCAAGCACTGAAAAAATTTGTTAAAATTCGCCACAAAAGAGATTCAGATTTTAAAAATTTTATTTCCTATATTTTTTGGATTTCACTGTTCACCACGACCTAATTTAAGCTCGGGAGCCACTTGATGAAGACATGTACCTAGGGTAGGGACACGGACCTGACCAAAGAGTCCTACCCTAGGACACCCCTAGGAGAAGTCACCTTTCAATCGACTTGAAGGTATATCACTCAACGGGTTCAAGACACTCGACCAAGAAGCTATCACTCGACCATGAAGCCAACCACTCGACTGCCAGGAGACCTAAAGTCACTCCGCAGGCAAACGGTCGGCTGTTGAGTAGTCTTTATGATCATTATAGCACTTTATTAGGGACGTTACCAGAAACGCCCAACCTTAAATGTACCTTAAACCCTGCATTACTGAGGGCGGGAGGGGTCCGGCGAACTCTATATAAGTCACCCCCCTCCTCAGTATGAAGGGTTCGCACCCCTGTATCCATACACGCATAATCCAGTCGACCGCCTCCGGGCTTCGAGACGTAGGGCTATTACTTCCTCTAAGAAGGGCCTGAACTCGTAAACCTCGCGTGTAACAACTTCCCAATAGCTAAGATCCAGCCTCTCCATACTCACCCCCCTACATCACTATCAGAGTTAGAACCACGACAGTTGGCGCCCACCGTGGGGCAGGAATCTTAGCGCTTAGTTGGAGAAGTTGCGATCTTTTCCGATCCCTTTGATCATGTTTTCTTGCGGAGTTTCGGTGGAGGACCGCGAGATCCGTCTCGGCGCGCTCACCTTCATCGTCGATGACTCCGCCTGGCTTCAGGAGGCACCACTCGACATCGACGCGCTCCCCGCCCGCAGTGCGACGCACTTCCGCGCATGCATTCGTGGCGTCCTCCTGCGGCAGCCATCGACTCAATATCGGTCGGCCCCTGTGTCGTCTCCCCGCCCTGCCTCCCGCCAGCGCAAGCGCTCCGGTCGGTCAAGACTCCAGCGGTGGGTGAGGCATGCCGTGGCCCGTCAGTCGACAGCCCCACAAGTCACGGCAATCGAGCCCGATGAATCCCTCTGCGGCCTGTTCGACCTGTCGACTGGCTCCGCGGAGACTGCATCCGAGTGCGACAGCAGCGACCCAGCGGCTGAGATTCTGGCGGTCGACGGAACGCACAGTCCTCCCGGTTTCCCTCGCGCTGATGGAGGCGCGGGTGGGGGCGATCCATCGCATCCCCACGATGAGTATCTTCCCGAACCTCTCACGTCATTACAGCGAGAGGAGCTTCGCCGCCGGAACATGGACGCGCTCCGCACTCCTATCGTCGGAGAGACCCCCGAGGCCCGGGCCTTGGAGGACGCGCGTTTGGCCAACTTGGCCAAGCACACTCGACTGGAGAATCTCCAGCGAGCACTCGACGAGCAAGCGCGTCAGCGGGCTCACGAGTCTAGTCGACGCCAGCTCTTCCCGCCGACGTAGGTATATCGAACCCCAGTTCAGAATTTGGCCGCCGCGGTCCATATAGCAGAATCGATTCAGCCCTCCCAGTCGGAGGCTGGCAGGGGCTTGTTACAGATCAGAGCATTGCTCCGGGCGGCGGGAAACCAGAATTCCGCTGCCTCTCAGTCGCGGAATAGGATCCACAGTCAATCTGTCGCAACATATACAGTCGAGTCGGCTCACAGCCCGAGATCGCCCCCAAGGCGTGAGGGACGTGGTGACCGCGTGACCAGTATAGGAGGAATGAGCAGTATGATCACCGATTCGACCGTGACGATCGACGTCGAGTGCCAACCCCTCCCCCGAGGAGTGGGTCATATGCGCCTCGACGGCAAGATGACAGACGCCCTCATAGTGTTGGGCAGAGGATTCCAGTCGACCCCAGAGACCCAGGCTTTGATGCGAGATCCATCCTCGTTCAAGGTTTGATCGACAGGAACAGAGCTCATTGAGGAGGCCACGACAGAGATGCACCTGCCAGCAGCGGAGTACGTGCTTCAGGGCCAGAGTGTTTTAGTCGAGCCATCAGAGCCGCAGTGATTCCTCCCAATTTCAGGCTGGCGACTGGAATCAGCAAGTTCACCGGTGAATCTAAGCCTGACACCTGGCTCGAAGATTACCGAGTGGCTGTACAGATTGGCGGTGGCAATGATGAGGTGGCCATGAAGCATTTGCCTCTCATGTTAGAGGGCTCGGCCAGAGCGTGGCTAAATCAGTTAGCACCCAGCAGCATTTACACTTGGGAGGACCTCTCCCGAGTGTTTATCACGACCTTTGAAGGAACATGCAAGCGACCTGCAGGCCTTACAGAGTTGCGGTCTTGCGTGCAGAAGCCGAATGAAACTCTGAGGGAATACATCCAGAGGTGGATCACGCTGCATCACTCGGTTGAGAATGTGCCAGACCATCAAGCGGTTTGTGCCTTCAAGGAAGGTGTCAAATACAGAGAGTTGAATCTGAAGTTCGGTCGAACTGGAGAGATGTCTCTGAATCGGATGATGGAGATTGCCACCAAGTACGCTAA